AAGAGAGAGAGAGAGAAAGACAGAGAGAGAGGGGGAGGGTAAGAGAGAGAGAGAGAAGGAGGGGGGGGGGGGAGAGGGGGGGAGGGAAAGACAGAGAGAGAGGGAGTGGGGGGGGGGGGGGGGTATCGCCTTCTGCTGAACCGCGCCCATAACTTCCGTAATGGTGCTTTGTGACGTCACCAGTCACGCCCACAGCGATGCCTTGTCACACCCCAGCCATTGACTAGTCGTTTAACAATTACTTCTTTGTTGTTTGGTATTTGACGTCACGACTCTGCAGAATTTAAATGTTCCATATTAATGGCAATAAGCAATCTATTTTGTTAATATTATTATCTATTATTGTTATCGTTATTGTTGCTGTTATTGCTGTTATTGATGTTGCTGTGGTTGTTGTTGTTTATAGTCAGTCTGTTCTCTCCATCAGATTACGTGATCGGGAAATTGTAGCTTTTAACCTTTGGAATACTTAATTATTCGAAAATCCATTCATTTGTACCTGTCGGCTTTTGCTCTCTCGCGTTATATGTAGATAGTGAGCGAGAGAGAAGATATCGGAAGAGGAATTTTTGTGTATATGGCTCTAATTTGGACCACAGACTAATATTTTTCCTGTGCTGATTACGGAACAGACTTAGAACATGGCCGTCGAGGCGTCAGAGAAAACTGCTCGTGGATATTTAGAGGGGGAACTATTGTAAATTTCCATGCAAAGTTTCTCTCTCTTAGAAAACCGTTTTCTTTGCATGAATTCATGTTATACCTTATTTGCTGATGTGAAGGTTTTAGAACACTTCCAATAATGCTGATTGGTTTGATTTTTTTTACACGGTGTATTTATGTCATTAGAACTGTTAGATAAATTCTTCGCTGCGACTTCAATTCTGCAGTTAATGTTAGAACGAGATAATTTTTATATGTTTATTTCTGACAACATATTTATCGTATTTTCTCTCTCTTTACAGATAACTCTAATGAAGATTGGAAAAAAAAGGTAAGAAACGTTAAGAAGACGCTGGTAACGGTGTAGTAGAAAATAGAAATTATATTACTTGTTTATATAGGTCTCGGTAATTTGGATAACATATAATTTGAAGTTTCTTCTTATAAGTAACAATTTATGTCACCGCATCTACGGTAAGAAACTTCATCTAACAGTAATGTGTAACTAGGATATCCATTCGTTAGAGAGAGTGAGAGATAGATATATAAATAGACTGGAGGTAGGTAGATAAGTGAGAGAGAGAGAGAGAGAGAGAGAGAGAGAGAGAGAGAGAGAGAGAGAGAGAGAGAGAGAGAGAGAGAGAGAGAGAGNGGAGGAGGAGGAGGAGGAGGAGGAGGAGGAGGAAGAGGAGGAGAAGAGAAGGAGGAGAAGAGAAGGAGGAGACATAGGAGTAAGAGACAGAGGGGGAAGAGAAAAAGGATTAGAAAGAGGAATAGACAGAGGAGTAGGAGACAAGGGAGTAGGAAACAAGGAAGCAAGAGACAAGGGAGTAGGAGACAAGGGAGTAGGAGACAGAGGAGGAGGGGGAGACAGAGGAGGAAGGGGAGACAGAAGAGGATGATGATGATGAAGAGGAGGAGGAAGAGTTAGAGGAGGAGGAAGAGGAGTGGAGAAAGCAGGAGGAGAAGTAGAAAGTAAAATGAGGAGAAATGAGGAGGAGGAGAGGAAGAAAAATGAGGAGGAGAAGGAGGAGAAGGTGAAGGAGGAGGTGAAGGAGGTGGAGGAGGAGGAGGTGAAGGAGGAGGAGGTGAAGGAGGTGGAGGAGGAGAAGGAGGAAGAGAAATGAGGAGAAATGAGGAGTGGGAGGAAAAAGGAGGAGGAGGAGGAAAGGACAATAAGGGGGAAAAACAAAAAGAGGAGGAGGAAGAGGTAGAGGAAGAGGAAAGGGGGGAGGAGGAGGAGGTGGAGGACCAGGAGGAGGAGGGGAAGGAGAAGGAGGAGGGGAAGAAGGAGGAGGAGAAGGATGTGGAGGTAAAGGTAGGAGGAGGTCGTATAACTTCGTATAATGTATGCTATACGAAGTTATTACGATCCTCTTCTGTCTCCCCTTCCTCCTCTGTCTCCTCCTCTTCCTCCTCTTCTCCTTCCTCCTCCTCTTCTTTCTCCTCGTCCTATTCCTCTTCCTCCTCCTTCTCCTCCTTCACCTCCTCCTTCACCTCCTCCACCTCCTCCTACACCTCCTCCTCCTCCTTCGTATAACTTCGTATAATGTATGCTATACGAAGTTATTACGTCCTCCTCCTCCTTCACCTCATTTCCTTCACCTTCTCCTCCACCTCCTCCTACACATCCTCTTCCTCCTCCTCTAACTCTTCCTCCTCCTCCTTTTCCTCTTTTTCTTCCTCTCCCTCTTCCTCCTTTTCCTCTTTCTCTTCCTCTCCCTCTTCCTCCTCCTCCCCTAACTCTTCCTCTTCCACCTCCTCCTCTTCCTCCTCCGCTTCCTCTTCCTCTTCTTGTCGCTTCCTCCTCCTCCTCCCCTTCCTCCTCCTCCTCCACCACATGCTAAAACTCCCCCCCCTCCTCTTATTCCTCTTCCTCTTCCTCCTCCTTTTCCTCTTCCTCTTCTTGTCTCTTCCTCCTCCTCCTTTTCCTCTTTTTCTTCCTCTCCCTCTTCTTCCTCCTTTTCCTCTTTCTCTTCCCGTAATAACTTCGTATAGCTTACATTATGCTAAGTTATACGAGGAGAAATGAGGAGGAGGAGAGGAAGAAAATGAGAAGGAGAAGGAGGATAAGGAGAAGGAAGAAGAGGGAGAGGAAGAGAATGAGGAAAAGGAGGAGGAAGAGGAAGGAGAAGAGGAGGAGGAAGGGGAGGAGGTGGAAGAGGAGGAGGAGGAAGAGGGAGAGGAAGAGGAGGAGGTGGAAGAGGAGGAGGAGGAGGAACGAGAGGAGGAGGAGGAGTTAGAGGAGGAGGAGGAAGAGACTCGTATAACTTCGTATAATGTATGCTATACGAAGTTATTACGATCCTCTTCTGTCTCCCCTTCCTCCTCTGTCTCCTCCTCCTCCTCTCACTCCTCCTCCTCCTCTACCTCCTATTCCTCTCCCTCCTCCTCCTCTACCTCCTATTCCTCTCCCTCCTCCTCCTCCTCCTCCTTTACCTCCTCCTCCTCCTCTAACTCCTCCTCTTCCTCTTCCCCTTCTTGTCTCTTCCTCCTCCTC